CTGAATATTGTCTAGTGCCCTTAGCACAGCACGATTTTATAGACAGCATGCTTGATCTTTCGTTATTTCAAATAAATACAATTTCTAATCATTTGAATAAAACACTTGACCTTGTATTTCTTAACGAATACCTTATTTCTAATGTGTCTAGGATCCCTCCTTTATCTCTTCCTGAGGATGTCTATCATCCTACTTTAGAGATTGCAAAGCTCAATTGTAATCCTTTCATTTTGTGCTCCTCAGCCAATAAGCCCTGCTGTTGCTTTCGCAAAGGAAATTATTCTTTGCTGAATTAGCTTATTTATGCAATCGATTGGTCTTTCTTATATGACTCGGTTGATATGAATACAGCCATTAATTTTTTTTATATCACCCTAAACTCCCTATTAGATGTGTGTATTCCCAAGTCAATTCCTTCGACTACTTTTTCAAAACCACCCTGGTGTACTCCCAGATTATCACATCTAAAAAATGTAAAATCTAAATATTTTAATAAGTTTAAATTTTTCATAGCCAAGAACTTTTTAATTCTCAATGCTATGAGAATTAACTCGTTGTAAATGGCAATTTCCGCAAAATCCGAGAGAGTTTTATAATTTTGTAAACTTGAAACTTAAATCTTCTTCTTCTTGTTTGCCATCTTCTTTTTCTCTTGGGGTGGATGAAGCAAGCAATGACTCTGTTTCAGCTAACCTCTTTGCTAATTTTTTCCAATCAACTTACTCTTCAGTCTATCCTAATATTAATTCTTACCCTTATACTATTTCTTCAGCTAGTTCTATGCCTCCTTCCATTATTTCAAATTCCTCTCTCCTGTAAACTCTTTAAAATCTTCTTACTCTCCTGGCCCGGACAATTTTCATAGTTGTCTACTCAAGGATGTAATTCTTCCCTTCTTTATTTATTGCAAAAACTTTTTAATCTATCCCTTGAAATTTCTGTCTTTCCATCTATTTGGAAAGAATCTTATATCATTCCTCTTCACAAGAAAGGTGGGAAGTCTGATATACAAAATTAGAGGGGCTTTGCAAAACTGTCCGCTATTCCTAAATTATTTGAAAAAATTATCACTTCGAATTTGCAGCATTTCTGCAAATCAGTTGTTTCCCCTGTTCAACATGGATTCGTAAAGAATCGGTCAACTACGACCAATCTTCTTGAGTTTACTTCCTTGGTAAATGATGCTTTCCTGCATGCAAACTGATTTCATTTACACTGACTTCAGTAAGGCGTTTGACTCTGTGCACCATGACATTTAACTTTTTAACTTGACCGAATAGGTTGTTTTGTTTTGGATTAATTCTTATTTAAAAGGTAGGACCCAAAGAGTAATGCCCCTTCATCATTCTCGTCTACAGGACGATTTGAATGTAATGCAACTTTAGTGTTCGGCCAATCAATTACATCTAAATTGTTCAAAGTGTATGTTTATGACATCAGTTATGACGTCAGTTATACAATCGACAATATCTCTTTGCAATGTATACTAACAGTTAAGGATCTAGGCGTACTTTTTGATTTTAAACTCTGTTTCAATCTTCACATAGATACCATCGTTAATGAGGCAAAAGATGTACTTGGATTCATTAAACGATGGTCTAGAGTTTAAAGAGCCTTTTGCAACGAAAATTCGGTACATCTCTCTTGTTCGCCCTATCATTTAATACTGCTCTTGTATCTGGTCTCCACAGTATAACAATAGCCAGGATCGTATTGAATCTGTTCAGAAGCAATTTCTGCTTTTTGCCTCACGATGCTTAAATTGGGACCCTAATCTTCGGTTGCCATCCTACTCCAGCAGACTGCTTCTTCTCAACCTTCCGTCGTTAACCAACCGTAGGACAATTCTCGGTGTTGTCCTCCTACATAAGTTGATTATTGGCGACATAGATTATCCTTTTCTGCTAGGGCGTCTTCAATTCTCTGTTCCGGCTAGACCAACCAGAAATTATCGCCCCTTATTCCTATCTACCTGCACAACAGAGTACGCTATGCACAATTCTTTTCGCGTGCTATGTAAAAATTATAATAGTTTGCATCACGTTTTCTCTACCGAACTTTCTCTACCACTAATAAAATCGTTGCTTTCAGGATACCTTCGGGAAATCGCTGACCATTCCCAGCTATGAGCAGGGACAAAGCTTGCCGGACAGGCTGAAAAAATTCTCCCCCACCGTGTCGGTGATTTGCCATTACTTTTCTCGTTGTCCTATCTACTTAAGACTCTTTTTCTTCCACTTTCTTTTTTCCTTTTTATTGTATTTATTGATGAATATAGAAAATTAAGATTAATTTTGTACTCTGAACCCATTAAAAATAAGGGTATATTGTGTGTGTAAAATCCAAATGTATGTATCAGGCAGAAGGAAGCATCTCCGACCCCATAAATTAAATATATTCTTGATCAGCACCAATAGCCGAGTCGATCTAGCCATGTCCGTCTGTCTGTCTGTTCGTCTGTCCGTTTGTATAAACGCAAGGGTCTCAGAACCTATAAGAGCTAGAGAAATTTTAGATGTAGGTGCTCCTTGTGCCTGCGCAGATCGAGGTTGTTTTCGATAATCGATAACGTACTCCGTGTCCAAGCAATCGATAAAAATAATAATAAAAAATCGATATCGACATCCCGTTTTTTTTGAGCAAATTGGTAAATAATAAGAGCTAGAGCCACCAAATATGATATGTTGCTTCTAGAATATTATATATTTGTTAAGTATCTTTCATTTTATACCCATCGCTACCTCCCCGCTACCACCACAGAGTTATAAACCAAGTTAATAACTTAACTTTTATTGGCAACCAATTTAAGCCACAATTTTATAGCAATTGACTCTTTCAGAATACACAAATATTCTATGGTACAATAACATATACTGCAGAAAATTTCATAAAGATCGGTTAAGAAAGAAAACCAAAGTTATATGCAACTGCGCAATTGAATGGGGCAGCAGCTTTAAGAATAAGAGGGTTCAGGGTATTCCTTAGTCGGGAGCCCGACTAGAACCTCTTACTTGTTAATCTTACTTAAAAACACTTTTTTCCTACTTACAACCTTCTGCTTAGATGTAAGGTCTAATAGCGTCACTGACAAAATTAGCTTTAAAAAGGGGCACAGCTGGCCGGACTGGCAAATAAATCACCTCCAACGGTCGGTGATGCAATTTAGAAATTGGATTCTTAAACTAGGCCTTAACATATAATTCTATTATCTATTATATAAGCTATTGAATAATAAGGAAGACACTCGTTTTTTGACCATTAATTAATAAATAATTAAATAAATTAAACATTAGTATTACAATTTTATGGATACGTATACTTTCTGCTTCACAGTAGTCCTTGAAGAAGTTTGAAACGAAATTATCATGCGATTAGGATTTCCTGCCTGGCGTCTTAGTAGATCTACAGATGCGTCGACTATCACCCAAATATAGCTATAATTTTTACTAGTCTGTTATATTGGACGGACTTGGTTCACATGGTACGTACCTAAAGACTCCTTTTTGTCGATTGCTGCCAAAAACCTTCTTTCTTGTCTGATTTGCTCTAAAATATTATACATTCTATGCAACTTTTTACAATTTGATGCATGTTTGACGATAGCTGCGGAAAATAGAATGTCTTCTCAATTTTTAGTTCGTTTTGCTTAGAAATGCCCTTGCTTGCCAATCATCTCTCGCTTGGGCTTGCTGAAATCTGTGCTGCAGTGAGTCTTCAATCATAAGACAGGATATGCCGGCCAAAGCATCAACAAGCCTAATTTTTCTGCCATTTCGATGTTCAATGCTGTAGTTAAAATTTTAAAGGAATAATGGCCAACGCGAAACGTTTTCTCAAGGTCAAAGCAAAAGCGTCACAATTGGTAACGATCTTAAATTTTATGATTGTTAAGTAAACACATCACTTTATCAAAGCTATAGCCAACTATAGCTCATTACAATGATATTTTTTCACTCAGGGTTAATTAAATAAATTGGTTGGAAAAGTTAATCATCTGAGTCTTTTTGAAGGAGCACACCACTATAAATATTCATTGAATCGTCCAAATATACTTCAGTCTGAGCTTGCCTAAATGCGACGAGTTGTTCTTCATCATTTCATAGTATTCTACAAAGCGCCCAAAGTACGGCGATAATCCGAGAAAACGCTGCAAACTCCTTCGGTCGTGCGATATAGGAAAATTTTGAACTGCCTGTGTTTTTTCACAGATGGACTTATTGTACGGCCATGCCTTTCTAACATCCCCTAAAAATGTCAACTTCCTTCAAAAGAAACTGACACTTGCTCCATTTTATACGCAAGTTGCGCTATGCTGCTCTGTCCAGTATGTGCTTAAAATTTTGGATACCATCGCTTATATTCTTGGAGGGAATTTTAAGATCATCCATATAAGTTACGATTGTACCATCCAGCCCTGAACTTGTTACAAATTATGTTAATTTTATCGAACTGAGCTCAATTAGAACATGAAAAAATCCGTTGTAAGATCGAGTGTAGTAAATACTCTTTGGCCCTGCAATCTCTCAATCACATCGTCCATTAAGGACATTGAAAAATTGTCCCTCGCGATCTTTTCGTTTAAACGCCGTAGTCACAGCACAATCTTTTGGTGCGTGACGAAGATTTTCTTAGTTTCTCGTTTTATTTTCCTTTCTGTGTAATGCAATTTATACGCTTTACCATTCATTTTATCTAAAGCTCGAACATTTTATTTTGGACTTTGTGAACTGGTCATTTAATAAAAAACAGCAGTGTAATTTGGAAACATTCAATTCTGCATTATGTGAACTTTTTCAAAATTCGATTACTTGCTCTCCCAGCATTTTATCACCCTGAAAACGTCGTATAACGCAGCTTCATGGCTAAAATATAAAGCCAACGATAAGAACAACCAAAACAAAATGCCTTTCCCATTACAAACCATATACAACTTATTTCATGTTTAGTACGATGCGAAAGAAGCTTTCGACTGAAAGTATTTTTTTTATAGTAAAATGTACCTTGCTTGCCATTGATGATATCCAAGCCAGTGAAGAAGATTTTTTTTTCGATTGCGGCATTCAGCTACAATGTTATCATTGTGAATCGCTCGGAAATGTGCCAGATCAGCACCATTTTCTGGTATCTCTTGAATATGACAGTGTACATAAAACTCATTTCGCCCGTGGTAAATCAATTTGTTGCTTTCAACTTCGACTGATTTTGGAATAGCCCACGGAATTTCTGATCCTTCGACACTATACCAAACAAATACAAATCCATTTACTTCTGTGGAGGTCCATTTCTTTATTTTTGTTGCCGGCGGAACTGAAATGTATAGATAAATAAATTTCACTTGTTCTAGAGTAGTAAAATTTTTTCTGCATTTGACTTACCACAAGTACTATATGGAATATTGGTACACACTCCGTCACTCCCTCTAAAACTCCATTGGTGAAAGGGACATTCGATATTATCCCCAACAACTCGACCGCCAATGCCCAAATTAGCTCCTAAGTGTGGGCAATACGCATCCAAAATATAAATTTTATTTCCTTGAGATCGATAGATTATAAGATGTTCTCCCAAACAAGACATATGTGTTGATTCTCCAGCCTTAAGTTTCGATGATTCAAGAATTCCATACCAACCATTTGGATATGGAGGGGGTAATTCCTTTGCTCCAATTAGCCGTGAATTTCTAAGCCGGTTGACTCCAGCTAGTTTACTTTTACAACGCACATTTTTGCTAGTGCATAATACTTGCCAGTCTGTAATATTATCCATATGCTTCCACGTATACATAAAAATAAAAATAAAATTCTTGAACATGCATGGTTCTTCCTGATAAACATATGAATCCCTAAATTAATATTATCGAGAAAGTAATGATATCATCGGCACGCCGAAATTTAATACTCTTGCCAACATTTCTCTTTTGCAGATATGAGAGAATAGTACAAATCGAGAACGCAAAGTATGAAACTTTTTTGTATATCATCCGATCGGCCTCAAACTCAATTTCAAAGATCTTTGATCAAATTTATTTGAGGGGTGTTTCGCACTTTTTGGAAAATCCATCGCTGCTTGGTGAATATGGGGCAACCATTTGGTGGGTGACATTTCGCGCTTTCGCTACAACACGTATTCATTAAGTTTTTATGTAGAGCATTGAAAATAAGCTTAAAGCAAATCGGACACCACTTAAAGTTTCACCAAAAAAATCTTTTAATCGCATTCCATCGAAAAAGTTTGGATTCTGCGAGAAGTGAGAAACAAAAATCTATATCATATCAAATCTATCATTAGAGACGTGTTGTGCGTATTTTGACGTGTATTTTGTGTATTATATGTTTAATTATTTTTTGTTGTCGTTTGTTATACCCTTGCAGAGAGTATTATTATTTCGGCGTGATATGTGTAACGCATAGAATGAGACATCTCCAACCCCATAAAGTATATGTATGTATGGTACATGGTATATAGCCATGTCCGTCTCTCCGTCTGTGTGTTTCTATGCGAGCTAGTCTCTCAGTCTTAAAGCTATCTTAATAAAACGGTGCAGAAGTCCCTTTTTCTGTTGCAAGCAGCACATATGCAAGAACTAGCTGGATCGGACCACTATATCATATAGCTGCTATAGGAACGGTCGGTCGAAAATTTAAATATTTTGACCAAACTCGGCATTTATTAGTTTTACTATGCTCTTTATATAAATGCAAAATCCTTTTAAGATCGAACCAGTATATCATATGGCTACCATAGGAACAATCGTCGAAAATTAAGTTGTATGAAAAACATTTTTGTTTATCAAGATATCTTGACCAATATCGATATTAATTAGTATTACTATGCTCCTCATATAAATCCTATTAAGATCGGTACATTATATCACATAGCTGCCATAGGAACGATCGGTCGTAAATTAAGTTGTTGTATGTCATTCTACATATTTTGATTAAGCACGGCATTTAAAGATTTCAATATGCTCCCTTCATTTTTGCAAATTCTTATTTACATCGGAATACTATATTATATATCTGCCTAGAAATTATCGGTCGAAAACTAGGTTTTTTAATTAAAAACCTATTTTAATTATCAAGATATCTTGACAAAACTCGGCATTAACTACTGCTTCTTAGATACGGGCAAAGCACTATCAGGATTATGAAAAGGTTGGGTCTGCAAGAGTATTAGATCTTCTACGTACCGAAGACAGCCTTCATTTCCTGTTTTAATTTCACTTACTTTTGTAACAATGTAAGAAGCTTTTTATAAGTTTTTAATTGTATTTAGGTATAATGGTACTCTTTATTAATAAGGGGCTAAGTAGAAGTGTTAATGAATGACAAAATCAGTAAAATAATTTAATTCGATAATGTGGTGACCAATGTGAGGATAAACCGCTTAAAATTTACTTGCAAAGAAACTCCCGGAAGACATTAAACTTCATGATATAAAACTACAGGAAATAGATTTTTCTTACTTACAAAAATAAAGTGACTTGGAAATGGAGCACCATTTGAAAAGTTGGACTTTAAAACTTAAAATGGAGAACGGAAAACCATCACACACTTGGTGAAAAAACGTGTGAAGTGGGTGTCTATACGCAATTGCAAAGTTATTAAGAGTTGTTTGATTATAACATGTCACATCAAAATGCTAAAGAGACTGATCAATTCAATAAATGATCGGAGGGGGATTCGCACATTGTAGAGTAGTTTCGTATCCGGAGGCTTAAGCGGTTCATGGTTTATCCAGAAGCATTCTTCTTTTAAAAGGAACTTTTGAGTCATCACTCTTTTCATACCCTGACCCCATTAAAAATGGGTATATGGGTATATTGTTTTTGTGCAAAATCCAAATGTATGTAACAGGCAGAAGGAAGTATCTCCGACCCCATAAAGTATATATATTCTTGATCAGCCTCAATCGCCGAGTCGATCTAGCCATGTCCGTCTGTCTGCCCGTCCATTCGTCCGTCCGTCCGTATGTATGAACGCAAAGATCTGAGAACCTATAAGAGCCAGATAACTCACTCCGTTTCCAAGCAATCGATAAAATCGATATCGATATCCTATTTTTTGAGCAATTTTGGCAAATAATAAGAACTAGAGTCACCAAACTTGACATATAGAGAGGGATGACCTGAACAAAGCCAGAGCACAGTAGCCCAGAGTATGAAATGAACAGCCCCGAGACGGATTTTGATCTAGATATTTTTATATCGTTTCCCCCACGCTGGGGTGGTAGTATTGGCGAGGGAGGGGAATGGCCTTTTAGGTTTGATAGGTTTCATGGTCCGTGGTCTGAGCATGACCGGATAAAAGAGCTGCTACAATGCAATTAAAAGCCTCGAGTAGGTGGCGTAAGATTATATGCACCTTCGCAGTCGACTAGCTGTGGTATGAGGCCAATTAAGTGGAAGCCTGTTTCGACGAGTGTTATTGCCGATAATTTTTAGGGCAAAAATCGATGGTGAGCTAGAAGAGGAGGTCGAAGAAATCGTGGTAGACGTACGCTTTGACCATAAGCGCTCTAACCGGCCCGGATGCTGGAACTGTGTGACTGCGCCGCATTAGCCACGATTTTAGACACTGTCCATCCACGGAAAGTAAACTGAGGAGCACGCCCAAAAGAAGGAATACCCGGTAAGCTGGAAGAACTTTGTAGGAATAAGGATATAAAGATAATCAAGCATTTCGCTCCTGAAGAAAAATGAAGGAATTATGTAGATATATGATACAAGATGTTTAATGCAAAGCAATTGGTGGGATATGAATAGTGACAAGCGGTGTCAAGAAGGCATTAGACCGTCCTTTTCTGAAGAAGCAGGCTGCAGACGTCGTTAAAAGAGGTAAAAAACCGGGTACACATCTCATAAAAGGTCTTTTAAACACAGGATCGATAGATAATCTGATGGGAAAAGGATGTCGAGAAGTCGTCGAAGATCTAGCGGTACGGTGCAGCCATACGTTTCGAAAGTCCGAACCTTTAGAATCTTCTCCAGATCTCAGATAGATTAATTATCGGTCGGGCCGAACTCCCAATATCGTGTAAGGAACTGAATAAAACAACATCTGCCCTAACATAAAACTGCGAGATGACTGATTTCTGGCGGGCATTTACCCTAGCCCCGGGCGTTTTGGGTCCCGAGAAGCTAATCTCCACGGAAAGTCAAATGGAAAAGTAACTGGCCGTGTCGATGGCATGCCACGGAGAAAAAGAGGAAGGAGTAGACAGTGAACAGTGAACAGACTAAGAGAAACATGAACAACCGTTTATAGATCGATCCTTCCCATTATTGCCAGCACTGAAGAAAGTATTGTCGGACTATGTAAGAAAATCCAGTTAGGTCCGTATTTACAGTCCCAGGCAGAACCTTATATCAAAAGTCGAATCATGCCCTTAACTAGTTTGACCGATGGACAAGATAAGATCCACATGTTTTTGTTTATCGGATAAACTTCTTATTATTGCCCACGATTTACAAACTTATCAAAGGTTCTTGCGATGAGTAGGGCAGTGCTTGTGAGAAAAACACTCTATCGGGCAGCAAAAATCAAAATTCTTCTTCAAAGCTTTGAAATACCTTAGTTGAGGCATGCTTAGCATGGAGACCGCACGGGTTACAGATGTTAAGTCCCAGTGCTTCGTTCGCGATAGAAATTTCGGGCATTTTTGGGTACAGCATCTTGCTTCATCCGAGATTTCGCGCTTAAGCCTTGCATCGAATGTACAACCCCAAATTAAAATGGATGAAATCCATGAAGGACCTAATCAATAGGACCTATTCAATATGTTGCAAAGCATTTGTTCGGTCAAATACTAAATATATATACATTAGTCAGGGTATCAATAGCAATGTCAAAGCAGATTATGTTAAGATTGTGCTAATTCTCTTCTATTTGAATGTCATAAGCACTCATACCCATGTACGAAGCCTCGCTCTCTTTCGAACTCTGCAATTGCTCGGTCCCTTTAATCTTAATTTATGTTAAATGTTCAGTTCTGTAAGCATCATCATAGAAGTCAGTCGTGTTGCTCACCAATTTGTAAAACCTTTATTAAAACTTCATACCATCCACACACGTCCACTTGAGATAAGATTTTTAAAAGGTTAAAAAAAAAACGCTTTTGATCCAACATTTTGGCGCCCAACATTGGGGCTAGTGTGTGGAAATTGACGGCATATCGTTGTCGCACAACATTTCGTTGGAAAAAGGTTTTATCGAACTCCTCGCGAAATACAGCATCGACAGCAACAGTTGGCCAGCACTTCTTTCTTGTTACCGTTGCTTCGTCGCTGGAAACTCACTACCTTCGCTTCGCTACTGCATTCTTGTAGCCGTTACTTCGCGCTGGATACGCTCTGAGTTTGATTGCTCATTGCCTTTGCCTCACATCTCCTTTCTCGTTGCCGTTGCTTCGTCGCTTGAAACTCGCTACCTGCGCTTCGCTACTGCATTCTTGTAGCCGTTACTTCGCGTTGGATACGCTCTGAGTTTGATTGCTCATTGCCTTTGCCTCACATCTTCTTTCTCGTTGCCGTTGCTTCGTTGCTGGAAACTCGCTACCTTCGCTTTGCTGCTGCATTCTCGTTACCGTTGCTTCGTCGTTGGAAGCTCGCTGCCTCTGCTTGTTCACTGCATTTTGCTTCATCACTGCAAGCGACCCTCATATCGGTGAGCGCAACATTTACAAGTCTTAGCTGTTCTGTTAACAGTGGGAGCATTTGAACTGTCGCTCGCTCACATTAGTGAGAGTGACAATCAAGTTAAAGTTAGGCTGTGAAAATTTGGCAGTATCAAAACTGTCGCTCGGTCACATCGGTAATCACAACATTCTCGATACATAATGTCAACTCTTGAAGCAAACTTACGTAAGCGAGCGAACATAAAACGCAATATCGCACACTTAGAGGATGTCGTAAGAGTGTCTACTGAGGTCGATGGCAGTGAAAAAAGATAATCACACGTTGAGCTACAATTACGCTTGGACATGTTGGAGATATACATTAAGGAGGTTTCGGAAGTACAATCTGAAATTGAATTGGAAGATCCTCAGGACAATGGCCTTGCAGAGGTGGAAGACACATATGTGAGTATCAAATTGTCCATCCAATCTCAACTGGATGATGTACTGCACAGCACCTCATTTTCTAACCCTGCTCCAATTCGCTCTTCGCCGCCATCGAGTCTTCCTCGATTGGCTCCGCCTGTATTTGATGGCTAACGAGCAGAGTTTAAAAACTTCATTACATCATTCAATCAGATTATCGGTCGTGAGTACCTCTTTCGAACATTGAAA